AAAAAAAAAAAAAAAAAAAAAAAAAAAAAAAAAAAAAAAAAAAAAAAAAAAAAAAAAAAAAAAAAAAAAAAAAAAAAAAAAAACAACAAAAAAAAAAAAAAAAAAAAAATGAAAAAAAAGCAAAAAAGAAAAAAAAAGAAAAGAAAAGAAAAGAAAAGAAAAGAAAAGAAAAGAAAAGAAAAGAAAAGAAAAGAAAAGAAAAGAAAAGAAAAGAAAAGAGAAAAGAAGAGAAGAGAAGAGAAGAGAAGAGATGAAGAGAAGGAAAGAAATTGATGAATTTAAGTGAATATCCTAATATTTGTACTAACACAGTTTTAGTTTTTTGTTTAAAAATAGTTTTTTGTTTAAAAACAGTTCGGTATTTTACTCTTAGATAAATAAACGGTTCATTAAAATCAGATTGCACTTAACCACTGATAAAGTGTTTCTAGTTATTTACTCGTTATTTACTTTAGAGCCATCATATACTTAAAAAAAATGAGAAATTGGCTTTAAGAGTAGGACTTTCGAAAATAGCAATTTTTGATGATGTGATGTATAGGTATCAGGTACATGCGTAATACTTTGGAACAGTGTAGTTTGAATTTTATTTTGTGGATAAGGAAGTACTTAAGCAACAATTAACAAACATTTTTTCAGTCTTTCAGTACTCCATCAAACTGATTGCTTAGTGTTATTTTGCTTTATTAGATGTTTATAATCAAGTACCGAATAAATCAACTACTCAAACATTTAGTAATTAACTATTCTTCTAAAAACTTAAATAATTGCACAAGTTTTGATTTTTCTATTAATGAATTTTTTAATAAATATATTTCCAACAGTATAAGTGTCTAGAAGCAACATTATTGTACCAATTAATTTTGATGTCAAATAATACCGCATCAAAAGCATATATAATAATTGAATTTCTATATATAACAAATTATACTATAACTTCCTCGGCAACATTTCTTAAACTAAAATTAACCAACTATTATTTCAAATCAGTCAATTTTATGGATCACCATTGCCGAATAGTAAATTGACGGCACTAGAATTAAGAGTATGTCTTTCTCTAATATTCGCATTGCCTTGAATTCCATCAACAGTCCTTGCGCCATGAACAATACTGCTAACAGTTGAGGTGACATCACGACCAGTAGGATTGGCAGGATCAATGACATTGCTGAGGCGACTAATAGAACCAGAAGCAGAAGTAGAACTGAATATCTCACTAATTCTTGCACTTGATCTTCTTTGATTAGTATGAGTAGTGTTACTCTCAGGATCCCCACGATTAGCACTACTTGTGACATCATGATTACCAACATTTTCAGCACCTGCAGGCTGCTGTGCATTTTCAGTGGGTTCATCTTGCTGCTTCTGGAAATTGATTATTACTATAGGCATTTCTTTTTATATTTTGTGGTGGACTTGTTGTGAACTTACCAATTTTTCATATATGTACTTTAAAAAGTACATCATCAAAATTATAATGGTAACAACAGTAGCGAATGCAAAAAAAGTGAATGGTTCATTATTGAGGAAGGTACCATACCAGTCACTTGTCTGTTCCTCTACCTCGTCGTTCTTCAGTCCTAAAATAGTTTTAAAGGAATTCTTTAAATAAGAAACCATCTTCACAAAACAATATGAAGACTTGAATTTGTTAAAATCAAATGAAATTTATCCAACTAAAGCCGAAGATGAAAGTTGAAGTTAACTCTAGACACTTTTATTTATATATGACAAATAAAATTTTTTTATTAAAAAGGATAGAAATTTCAACATTCAACATCAATAATAATGGTAAATCGATTTCAGTTTTTTACAATATACAAAAATAATTTAATATTTTTGTTTCGAAAAATTTTTAAAGTTACTATGAAATTATTGGACATAATGCATTTATTTGTGAAAAACGCAGTTCCGTTTTTAAAACTCAAAAAACAAACATAAAATACACTGCTAAAAATTATTTTTCTTTGTTGGAAGGACTGTACTATATCAAACTTCCTTTACTCGCCCATATCTTAACCTATCTATTATAATTTTGATTCATTTCGTCAAGATATATTAAATCTGAATCAAATTTTTTTTTCTTCAAACAAATTAATAAACTGATGGATAATAGATTCTCTTGACGAATCTTCAAGATATATTAAATCCGAGTCAAATTTTTTTCTTCAAATTATTAAACTGATGGATGATAGATTCACTTAAAGTATCGTTAAGATATATTTAATCCAAATTAAATATTTCTCTTCAAATAAACTACTAAATGATTATAAATTGTAACATTAAGGATTTTGAACATTACTACCTGATGACTCTACTACTAATGAGTTGGTTGGCTTATTTCATCGGTTCCATTAGATAAATACTCTTAACTTCTATTAATTTTAAGTATTTAATTTAAAGTAAGTTTCGTATAAATAAATAATTAAACTTAGCAACTTTAATGCATAAAATAAATAATATTTAAAGTTTGAAATGTGTAACTATAGAACACATAACTTAATTATGAGACACACTCAAAAAACCAAAAATAAATAGAAAAAGGATATAGTACTAAAACAGAAAATTTTAAATGGCTTTTAAATTAGGATAAAGTTATGCCAACGCCAATGCCAAAGAAAAAAACTGGGACGTAACAACCAGGATCATAAAGATGCTATTCCATGCACTCACTACTTACTACTCTGCTACTATGTTATGTTTTGCGCTACTAGGCCGATGTGTGTACAACATTTGCACAGTCATACAATGTTCGTATATCTGTACATCTATGTAAGCGTATCTATACATATATCTTCAGTGTTGCCATATATTTACAACATGTGTAGTGCATTTGTACACGCATGCTTCCAGCCGTGCTTACAATATTTTTAACTTATTTTGTTGGTTGGAAACTGGCTTGGAGGCAACGTTACCAGCTCATTGAAATTTTAAATTCGCATATAATTAATTCAGGCTGTGTCATGCGTGACAATATTGGGTATCCTGCCATAGTACACTTGGTCGACGCCGACCAATTCCGATTCCAACCACGACTGTGACTCGGACTAAAACAGTAGTATTCACTGTGACTGTAACTGCGACTTTGTCTATAACTGCCTAACTGTGCACTTCACATTCCCGGCGATGGATATAAATTGCTTTAAAAATTGTGTGATTCTTTGTTGTTTTTGGTTAGTCATTGTATTAAACTTAATTTATATGTATATGTATAAACTAAATACTCGTATTTGTTCTTATCAAGCGGCTTAGCTGCTATCCTCCTATGTCAGAGTAACTGGACTTCGGTGTTAATGTTTGTATCGATGTCCACATAGTGGGACTGTATTGTGTGGGTGAGGATCGAAACCGCTGTTGTAGTTTGTGTACTTGAACTCTGTAAATCAGCTTGAATAATGCAGTTGCATTTATTATGCAAACGCCGGCAGACTCTGAGTGAAAATTATGGTTCTCGGCTTTATGAAACAAGTCACATTTGTGTTAAAACCTAAAGGCAATTGCATCAAATTTTCTACTGCCCTAACTAACTTCTTTCATCGAAAGCTGAAAAGTAACAACTATTTAAATTAATATACAGAGAAGACTACAATTTAAAGAACTTCGTTCTAACTTCGTTAGAAGAATTTTTAATTAATTGTCTGCTGAAAGCTTGTGTGATACATTCATTTTTCACTTGTGGGACATGTGTTTTTGTAGGACAATAAAAACAATTTTAGGACATAATTTTAAAAGCTTTAAGCAGAAGTAATGCATAATACTATAACATAAAAAACACATGTGTATACCATATATATTACTAACATATGAGTTCTGCCTTTTCATAATACTTTTTGCTATTTTAATATGTGGATGCAACAGACTTATAGCTCTTTAAATTAAATAATATTTAACACGTATTTAAAACATTAAGCTTCTCTGAGGGATACGCCAAGTGATTCTGGGACGACCTCCTCTCCTTACTCCTTGTGTGTTCCATTCCATAACTGCGTGGGCAATTGCATCTGTCGGCTTACTTAGCGTGTGACCGAGCCATACATATTTCCGTTTCTGAATTTCCTTCCCTATTGGCTTTTGTTTGGCGCGCCGTCATAGCTCTTCCTTGGAGACTCTTGCAGGCCACAATATGTACAAAATACGTTGCAAGCTTCTATTAACGAAGATTTGTAAGCTCTGAGCCGTTGCCCTCGTTAGCGACTATGTTTCGCACCCATATAATAATCTCAATTTTATACAGGCGTTAAATAGTCTGATTTTAGTTTCGGAATGGTGCTGTATTCCACACCCATTACCAATGTGTTACCTTATACATCAACCTTGATCCACCTTGTACATCTAAAAGTATCAAGTGTCTAATATTAAAATAAGCACATTGTGTCATTCCATATATTACAGCTTATCATCAGTAAAAACGAAATGCCTATTAAATTATCTAAATTCGACGGGAGGGATTCAAGGTATACTATTTTATATTAGGGGATCTTGTGATGAATATGGTAACAAAACAGCAGAGTATTGCTAATTGATGTACATAGAAGTTTTTTGATGGCCTGTCAATGCAACCATCCAACCAACCATCATATTGTTTGATGTACGACTTACCTGATTAATAATTCCTTTATCTTACGATCTTTGAGTTCTTTAATATTTGAATTCTCAGTCATTTAAGTTCAAAAACTGTTTCCTGCACTCTTCCTTTTTATTATAACGTCACTTCGTCTACCTGTGTCACGCCCATGATTTCTGGTTTAAAAAACTTAGTTTTCTAGGTATAAGCTTCTCGATCAAATCTCTGCCCTTTTATTACTGCATTGAAGTTTCCACATTGCTGTGAAATCTTCTCCATTCCTAAGAGGTAATTTTAGTGGGTTAAAATTCCACACTGTGGCTTTTGATACTTTAGACTTAACGCAAAGAAAAAAAAATTATTTTGACGTTCTTCTCCAAGATTTCATTAAAATTTTAAAAATACTTTATTCTTATTGCAATACTTTTTTATTTACTTTTTTTGATAATAGATACATTTACATGTTAAAAAAATAGGGTTTTTTCGAAAAATAGTGAACTACAACAACAAAAATTTGTTTTTATATTATTTTAATTAATTGAATTTTTGACTGACCATACAGCTGTTTCGAGTATTGTCAAATACCCACCATCAGTGGTCTTGGAAATAATTTTTGTATTTAATTATTCATAAATAATTTTTGAGACTGCACGTATCAGGAATCGAACTCGTGTCCCGCCAAATTAGAAGCTCAGAGTCAGTGCACCTTAACCAACTGAGCCATTTAAAAATATAAACTTTTACATTATAATATATTTTTAAAGCAATTTGAAATAATATCAACTTAAATTGATAAGACCTGCTTTGAAGTAAAATATGCAGATCTCTTATTTTCCAAAAGTAACAATACAATTAGCAGGCAAACTGCATATAAATCATCTAAATCTCTAAGGTATCTGCGACTAACTCTACACCAACTCACAACCTTAAAAAAATAATAGTTAATTTAACAAGAAAAAACAAAAAAATTATAATCACCTTGCTACCCTACATAATTCGAAAAAGTTAGGGTGTTAAGTTTCTACCCACGGAGGGTGTTATAGCACTGCAACCATTTGTCATTTTTGCTTAACCTCTTTTGCTTGATGTGAAATACTTGTATCTCAACAATATAATTTTTTCTCTTATCATTTTATTTGTAAATATTTCATTAATTTTTTTCTTCACTGTAAACTTTGCATAATTTCTATTTCGTATTCCACTCTTATTTAGAGGGTCCTAAATCGCTAGGGAAATTTTTGGTTAGATTCGGTTCACGGGAAGAGGAACTGTCAGCACTGCTTCAGTGCACGAGTATATGAAAAATGAGTTAAACACACTTTCACCTCAAATAAAATATATTATGAAATATATAATTTTTTATTGTTTTTATATTATATGAGATAATATTTCATAATCGTGAACATTCGTATATATATAGTATAATATAACTGTGTACGAGTATATTATTATGTTGAAGCTATTTGAGTCAGTGCACTTGAGCACTTTTACTCTTTATTAACTCGAGGTATCATCAAAACCCCACTTTACGCCTTGACTGGATTATTGTTTATCACTTCATCAGACTAAGCAATAATTGACGTCAGATTTGCATACCGCCCAGAGGAACCTGTAACCATTCTGAGCTTCGACAACGCGGTGTTGGTAAGTCTGTCAGTTTTCGTAAATAATTTCAAGGCTCTATTCTTTATGAGGATGTCCTTGAAAAGTCTTTTCAGAGCCTGGCTTTGTGCAATTTCTAGCTGGCGAATAGTAGTGTGAGTATATTTCTGTAATTATGTTTACAGTATGACGGCAATTAAACAGGGCTAGCAAATTAAAAGAGTTTAACTAACCACTCCTAGTAGATTGTAAAGTAGAAGGAGAGCGAGAAACTTCAGGGGGCAATGAAGATGATATAAGATGACCTTAGTTTAGCTTGAACATTATTCTTTGTCAATAGTGGACTCTATATCTCTAGCGAGTAGGAAGTATAGAACCGGTCAGATTACATCACGAGTAATCTACTTTAACTTAAACATCATCCAAGAAACGGTATTACACTATTGAAATCACCTATTCTACTTAACGTCGTCTTAACAACCAGTAAGATTGTATCAACCTTGTAACGAGTCAGATCACATCACGAGCAAAAGCCTATATTCTACATAATACCC